CGAGGGTATATCTGAGCTCTCCTCTGGTAATCGAAAACATGAACAACGTGTAACCTTTGCGGTCACAATGTGGTGGCTGTGGAAGTGGAGAAATGATTTGGTATTTTCAGGTACTAATATAAACCTCGCTGCAAGAATCAAATGGATTAGAGATCAAGTGGAGGAAATAAATATATCGTTCTCAAAGGCTAAGGGCCTAATAGCTCCGATAGAGAGTATTTGTTGGAGACAATTGAAGTGGATCAGGCCACAAGTTGGTTGGGTTAAGGCAAATATTGATGGCAGTTCCATCCCAAGCAATAGCATCGCCAGGTGCGGTGGTTTCATTAGAGATGATCAGGGTTGCTAGTTGAAAGGTTTTATGCACAACATTGGGCTTAACCAAAGGGTATCTAGTTAGCCAAGACTATGGGGCTTAACCACATGATTTTTTAAAACAGATTCCTTAGATATTGTGGAGGGTTTTTGCAAGGGCAAATCCTTTGAGAACCTGTTGATAACATCTTGGCGGCTTGCAGGAAAGAAATCAGGAGCATCCCTGTCTGGAAGGTTCTACACGCGGTTCGTGAACAGAATAGAGCTGCTGACCTCTTGGCGCACATGGCAACAACTATTAGCAGGGGCACATCTATACTCCATGATCCTTGTGATGAACTTCTCGATGTCTTAAATGATGATTGTTTGGGCGTCCTTGCGTGGCGTCATATTAGTTGTATTAGTCTGTGGTTTCAATTAACTATATTTGAAACCTAAATATTCAATTAAAGTCAATTAAAATCAAAGTTCATTATATTTGAATCCAATACATTCGTTTAAAATCAAACGGAGTAAAAAAAAAAAAAAAAATCAATCTGTTAAAAGTCAACACACTCAATTAAAGACATTAGAATAATGAAGTTAGTAGAGTAACTTCCAATAATCACAAACAAGTTGCATGGTGTTGCTCCAGAGCTTGTGGGATGGATATGGAGGGAGACATTATCCAATTAATCGCCGAGATTAGAAGAAGTGACGCCACGGTGTATTCGTATCCCACACACACGTGCTTCCCATGCAGCGTTGGAAAACATGAGGTAAGGACGTAGTGTTATAACACAGAAAGAGAAAAACATGCAATTTGTGGCTGCTGGGATTCGAGCCCAGGTCTCCACGGCCACAACGTGAAATTCTTACCACTAAACTACAACCACTTTGTTTAGAGAGAGTTTAGATTTATCTACAAGTTTTGAATTTTTTTTTTATTTATTTTTTTAGTTAAATTTCCACTATCATTGCAGCTGAAGGGATCTCTAGAGGCATTTTATGGGCTTGGAACCGAGGTATTAGAGATATTGAAATTCAAACAGATGCTGAAAAGGTTGTCAACTGGACCCTAGAAATGATACCATGAGGGGCACCATAAGTGTATATATTAAGAATATTCGTCAGAGATTAGAGAATGACCGAAAGATTTCTCTCCGCTGCATTGTTCGAGAGCCGAATGATTGTGTAGATGCCGTCGCAATTATGGGCGCACTTATGAACATGGACTGGAGAGAGCTTGAGCATTGCCCTCCTAGTTTGGAGGAGACCATTGAGAATGATCATTTGAGAGCAAGATGATCCCGTAACGGTAGGGCCTAGTCCTTTTTCTTTTCGGGTATCCCCCTCCATGTCAATCTACAAGGTTTGAATTTTTGTCCCAAAATTTACTGTACTAATAAGAGCCAAAGAGAGTTAGGCCTATAATGGGTAAAAAAAAACGACGGTGAAATTTTTTAATCAGATGAATGACTAAGATTGATTAGATTTTAATTTTTCCTTGAGATTTCCTAATTTATCCTTAATGATATGATTATCTGTTAATTTTTACGTTAAATATTATCTTCTCCGTTAATTTTTGTTAGTTCACCGTTAACTTACTCATTGATTTCAATAAGAATGGTCTTAGGTTCGAACCTCATCCCAATCCAAGTTGGCATAATTACTACTCTATTTTACTCTTATTAAATCAAATAATAATTTAGTAGCTACAACAAAAAATAATACATATGCATTTCTTTAATTTACAATTATGTGTCTACAATGCCTTTATTCAAAAAAAAAAAAAATTATTCATTATCAATAAATTAAACAAGAGAAATAATTTCATTAGTTATTGTCTTTATTTTTCTCCAATATAAAAATTCTTTACATTCAAATTCATCAATTGATTATATTCGCTACATTGTCCATACAATGTCTTTATTAAAAAAAAATTATTCATTATCAATAAATTAATTAAGAGAAATAATTTCATTAGTTATATTGTCTTTATTTATCTCTAATATGAAAAAATTTTTACATTCAAATTCATCAATTGATTATATTCGTTACATTATCCCTACATTGTCTTTATTCAAAAAAAAAAAACTATTCATTATCAATAAATTAATTAAGAGAAATAATTTCATTAGTTATATTGTCTTTATTTTTCTCCAATGTAAAAAATATTCTTTACATTCAAATTCATCAATTGATTATATTCACTACATTGTCTATTATCTTTCTTGTACACTATTTTTTAATTAAATATCAAAGTTATAATCAATGTTGCAAAAATCGTGCCTAGGCCCTGCCCGGCAGCAGCGAGGAAGGCCGAATTTGGCCTCCTCAGCGGCCGGGCGGCTAGACGGCCGCCTAGACCGCCTAGCCGGCTGAACCAGCGATTTTTTTTTTTTAATTGTAAAGTGTCAAAAGTTCGGCAAGACATAACTTTTGACTCGGTTGTCCGTTTTGGACAATTTTATTTTTTTGAAATCGCTATTTTTTTCGAGATCGCTATAGGCGGTTTGCCCTACCAATTTCTCAAAAAAATGCTTCTTTAGCTCTTAATTTTAGTTTTTTATGTATTTAGATGGTTTAAACAATATTTTAAACAATTTTACAACCACTTACGTAAATAGTTTGTAAAAAATAACTATGGGAACCTTATGTTTTATTAGTGAATTTTACAATTTTTAGTTTAAATTTTTTTAAATAATAATTAATCGGGCGCCTAACTTATTTTGCAACCTTGGTTATAATACAAAATAATGCTATATATTTATTTACCAAGTATTTTATTTATACAATGAAAATTTTTTTTTTAAAAAAAATAGAATTAAGCCCAATCATATTAACCACTTGAGGGATTTGTTGACAAAGAGAGTATTCTGTTGGAAATAATAAACCAAAAGTCGATTTAATATCGTAAAATAATATTTATATATACACACGAAAATATATAAAATATTATTCGATATATATCCGAAATATATATATATATATATATATATATATATATATATATATATATATATATATATATATATATATATATATATATATATATACACACACACACACACACACACACACACAAATATATATATAAACCGGACCCAAGGTTATATATACATATATATCTACGAAAAACTCCGAAAAAGATATACAAAATTACAAATATATATCAACCAAAAATTGAAACTTATAATATTTAGATTATAGTTCCAATCCGACGACTATATCAAAAGGAGAAAGGATTTTTGCTTAAAGCATAATCCAACACGAAAGAAGAAGAGGAAGAAAGATGGTAAGTACGAGTTAGGCGAAGTGCCTTTTTCCTTAAAACTTTATTTGCCACCTCCCAAAAAGTGCTAGGAGCGTTGTGGCCTAGGTTTCCCAAGATAAAATGTACAACGGTTCGATGTTTGAGCACCCAAACGAACGAACTAGACCACGGGCAGAACACAGCTTCAAGAATGGAGTAGGAGCAGAGTTTTTGGAGCTGGGAAAACAATATTTTCTGTGTTGTGTGTGTTGTTCCAAGTCCGTAGTTCTTCACTACTTTCTTGTGGAAAACTTGCTGCTCTACAACACTCTTATATAGGAGGTGTAAGATTAATAACATTTAATTTGGCATTTATTATAACATTAAAATCAGATAAAAACAGTTGTAACAGCTGACCGTTAATCTTGAGAATTAAAACTCGTAACGGTTCAAGAGAAGACAAGCTGATTCTGGGAACCATGCCAAAAACTTGACAAGCTGATTCTAAGCCAATTTGTGCCCACGTGAATCAAGCCTTTTCGATCTCAGTTTGGGATTTGATTTGCACCCCCCTACGCGCGAGAAAAAACCTCTATGCTATACATTCAATGAGCCTCTAAAAGACTCTTGTATAAATAGTGGGGCAAATCCTCTTCCCAGACCAACGTGGGACAAAAGCTCACATTTTTCCCTTCATTTTTCCAACTCAATGGGTCTACTTTGAGAATCAATATCTCATTCATCCATTATCCATTTTGAGTGTACAATATATCAATCTCTTCGTCTCACTACGAAGAATCCTAATCCACTTTTACCCGACCCAAATCGAAAGCGGATCCCACTGATAATTGTACCACAAAATAGCCACTTAAAATGCTTTTTTAATACTATTTTTCCAACATATTCAAATCACACAACAAATTGAAGTGTGAAACTATCTCGCAATGTCTTTACTTGACAATCAGCAGTTAGCGGTTAGTGTTAACGGATTTGACCAGCGAATTATATCAATGGTTGGTAAAAAGATATTTAAAAAAATTAACTGTTTAGATTAACATGTAAAATGACCGAAGGCTATACATAATAATAATAATAATAATAATAATAATAATAATAATAATGGAAAAGATAACGGGAGTTATAACGGTAGATGTAATTTTGATTGAGACTTATTATGTTTTTAGTATCAATTTTATGATGGGTTTGATACAATAAAACCATAAACTAAATATCGATATTTCAAAATTTTATTGAAAGAATATTTTTAGTAATAAAGGTATAAATATAATTGTATTTATGAAAATGACAATCTTATGTTAGATATTTCAAGAAGGGGAATTGTTTATCGTGAAGGGAGTAAATTATTTGTGCATAGGGCACTGATACAGAATTTTTTTTTAAAAAAAATTAAAATTTTTATTTTTAAAACCAACCAAACAAACAAACCATTCTTAAGTCTTAGCCCGACCCGTAAAAATCCCCAAATCACATCGCCATTTGTGCATTGAAGTTGAAGGTCACTGATACAGAAACTAGAAAATCTGGTTTTGTTGAAGCTCACAAGAATCAGGGAAAGGAAAATGGGAAACCCAAAGAAACAATCGAACGAGGAACTACACGCGGCGGCTCGAGCGGGTGACCTGACCGCCGTGCAGAGAATATGCAGCTCCAACCCACTCGCAGTCAACTCCAGAGACAAGCACTCTCGAACCCCGTATTTTGCTTCTCTATCTCTCTTCTCTCAACTCAACAATTTAATTTCAATTATATTACCTGTCTTTTGGGATTGGGCGGGCCTGCTGGGTGTATACAAAGTACTTTTTAAATGCTAGGAAAATCTTGAATTTCTATGTCTTACAAATTTGGTGTAATAGGTTAGAGATGAATAAAATTTTGTGTGAGATTTGAATTTTCTTGGAAATGGGCATTGAAAGATTTAAGAATGTAGGGAGCATTTTCATTATAGCTTGTGTTATTACCTATGCTGGCATTTGAACTTTGATTTGTTTAATTGTTACTTGACTGAGAATTTCAACATTTTGTGTGTTTTAATGCTAGAAACAATTTTAATTTCTATGTCTATGGTATCATTCAAAATGATAAGTTCAAGCTAGGATGTGAGTATTCAAAATCTCATTTATCAGCCAAGGCATGTTAACTTAGATTGTGAGATGAATGGTGTTAATAGCACCGTACATTAATTTTCATTCATTAGTTGATAGATGGTCATGAGTTTCTCTTTGATATCCGCTTAGCTTCCAAAAACAGTCACCTTTATACAGTTATACGTCCAGCATTCTGGTCTCTAAAATCATGAAACTGCTATCTTTTGTATCACCCCTAGAAAGAGAAGTTGTAAACCAAAGAGAAAAAGTACGGTCAATAAGAGCAGTGCACATGGAAGTGAAACAGTGTTCTGTGAGGGGAGTAAAGAAGTTGGGATGGCCAAAGTGCTAAGAGTTTACGAGAGAAGTGGTTTGCTGATTGAAACGATTGGTTTATGTCTGGGACAACAGGAGTTAGAGTGTGATTCCAGAAAGGTAATCAGACAGAGGAGCTCAATCCAATGAAGATTGAAGAGAAGGTTTAACATTATTGCTAGTGTATGTCCATTTTAGGTTAGTGTGCCTATGTGGTGTTTGGGATGAGAAAACTTAAAAAGAATGTCTTGTTCTAAAATTTCTTAGAAATGTAGTAGCACTGTAGCAATTACATTAGCTTTAGAAATAAATAACATATAAAAAAAAAAAAAAAAAAAAGAAAAATTGCATTTTTTGTCCCTAAGTTATAGGGTAATTGTAGGATTTGTCCCTACTTGTTAATATGCTCATTTCTTGTCCCTAAGCTATAACCAACGTTGCAAATTTCTTCCTTTTTCTAATAGGTCATGCTCACTTCTCGTCCCTAAGTTATAACTGACATTGTAAATTTCGTCCCTACTGTTTGTTAGAAAAAAGGATGAAATTTGCAACGTCAGTTATAGCTTAGGGACGAGAAGTGAGCACTATCAACAAGTAGAGGGACGAATCCTAGAATTACCCTATAACTTAGGGACAAAAAGCGCAATTTCCCTAAAAAAATAGTAAATGAAAACAAAAGAAGAGGAAAGAAAGAAATCCTTAACGTAAAGGTGGTACTAACAGGAAGATTGTTCCAAGAACGGCAAGAAGGCAACAATAGAGCAGTGATGTCTTTTGTGCTCAACTTCAAAAAAATGATAATAGCTTAGTTTTAATGTAAAAATTTGTTAAATGGATACTTTGTAAAACTATGAGGTATGCAACAAAAGAACATGTTTTTATGCGAACTTCAATGCTTTAACATTTTCACTGGTAGCTCCTCTTTGAAACATTTGAATCTCATATGTTGTAACAGAAGTATTCAATTTTAAACTCCTTCCTTTTAGGCTTTCTCCCTAGTCCCTACACGATTAGATGGTGCTGCTCAACTCACCTCTTGACTTGCATCAAGGTCTTATACTTTTCATCTCCCTATACTGTAGAAGAAAGAAACTAAGAAAGAGGACTTATGGTTAACTTAGTAATTTAACATGTACTTAGTTTTCTTATTAGCAAGGTCTATAAAAGGCCATGCACGTTTTCTCTCGATGACCTTACCATTCAAAATGTCATCTTGTTAAACGAAGTTGCACTGGATATATTTTATTGGGAGATCTTTGTTCTTTTTGTAATTGATATTCCTTCGTAGCTCAGCTGTTTCTGCATATGCACACATTATTTTGATTCGTTTATTAGTCTGTCTATCCCCTAATCTGGTAAATCGTAAACTGAACTCCAGACTCCACCTGGCAGCGTGGTCTGGACATGCACAGGTAGTGAATTATCTCTGCAAGAACAAGGCCGATGTGGGTGCTGCTGCCATGGACGACATGGGTGCAGTTCACTTTGCTGCTCAGAAAGGCCATCTAGAGGTTGTACGGATTCTTCTTACATCGGGAGTATCTGTAAAATCGGCCAATCGCAAGGGTATGACTGCCCTTCACTACGCTGCCCAAGGATCTAATCTGGAACTTGTCAAATATTTGTTGAAGAAAGGTGCAAATCTTAGTGTTAGAAACAAAGCAGCCAAGACTCCCATTGATCTCGCAAGCAATGACGACATCCGGTCATTCTTACACGAATGCGAAACCACATCTATCCAAGAGGCTCTTGGTGGTGGAGAAAAAAGTGATGAAGCTAAACCAAACCCCTCATCGGTGGAAAATGCAGAAGGCTCTGAGGTCAAAGCTGATGAGGACGGGGGTGGAGAGGCTGAGGATGCGAAAGATGAATCTGTCAAGAGAAAAGCAGACGGTGAGGAAGATCAGGAAAACTCCAAGGAAACAAAGAAAGCAAAAGTTGCTCTAAATCATCTTCTAGCTTCAGATGACGTGCAGGAAGAGGAAGAGGAAGAGAACCTTTGAGTGAACTCTGTGGAAATATGACTTACAATAGCTACAAGCTGTATCACTTAACACACATTTCACTAGTATGATAGCGGGAGCTATGTTGTTTTGTTATTATAGAGATGTTGACATGGCAACCAGTGCTGGTATTTCAAATTATACCATGGAGCAGAGTTCACATTGCATTATGGACCTTAGTTCAAAATGACATTCAGATTATGTGTCTGCCATTAACATATTGGGGTATTTGGTAAATGGATGTTAGTTGGTTGAGTTAGTGGGTTTGACTAGTTGATAACATTAGCTGATTGTAGAAAAAGGTTTAGTAAATTAGTTGTTAGCTGATTACATACAAAATAATTTTCTCAAAAAGCTTATCGAAAAAGCTACTTTGAGCAGTTTTTTAAATTTTTGCATTTTGAAGCAATAAGTTGTTACAAAAAGTTAATTAATCAAACATTCATATTGATTGTTTAACTAAGTCAAACAACTAATAGTGGTAAGCTAAAATTGGTTGATAGGCTAATTATTTTACCAAACATGGTCATTATGTGCATGTAGCGCGTATAATGTGCCTGTAGTTAAAATATTATGTACATATAGTTAATATATTATGTGTCTGTAGTTAAGTTATTACGTATATTCAATTTATTTACAAGCACATAATTTATTAATTAAAGACATAATATATTAATTATACATACATAAATTTTAGAGCAAGGTTCACCATGAAAGACCCTGGTCCATAGTATAACAATGGCACCTTACATTCATGGCTTCTAATTTAAGGTGCATCAGTTTAACAATGGCACCTTACATTCATGGCTTCTAATTTAAGGTGCATCAGTTTAAATTTAATGTGCGTTGTTTTATAGCTTAAGGTGTGTAGTTTTATAACTTAAGGTGCGTAGTTTTATAACTTAAGGTGTGTAGTTTTATATCTTAAGGTGCATCAATTTGAGACAGTTGATCATTTGCAAGCATGTTGGCAGGAAGCACGTTTTTTTTTTAAAATAATTTTTCTTGATTTGAGCAGTTGATCTAGATTAGATTAACAGCTTAGATCTCACCCTATCTTTCACCTAGAAAACTCTTAGCACGTGAACTAACACCTCCTACTTAAATCCATTATCATTAGTCATTACCAAGTACGGAATATTTGATTCTTATTACCATTTCCAATTCTAATGTTTAAATCAAACACACCCTAAATTATTTATGATATTTGTTACATGTCACATAAATTAATACAAAGATGTCCGTTCTAAGGGTACCTCTTTACCCCTTCCTATTGTAAGGTGGCAAAAAACAAACGGATGGATGAAGATGTTACTAGTCAAATTTTTATACTATATAGTGGAGCTTCTGCCAATTCCATTTATATATAAGTAAAACAATAGTTAATAATTCAAATTTGTGAACAAAATCACAGTACTAATAATTAATTGGAACGAATTACTCATAATTCATTATTAGAGAGGTCAACGCTGTTGACACAATGTTTAATGCCAAACATCGCCGGCCTTCGATGCAACACAATCTACATCGAGAATTTATTTTAAGATATAATAAATGCTAACAAATTATAATTGCAATCATAAGTTTTATTTTAATTTATGTTTTAGTGGTAGATACATTTGCATTACAAAATAGGAGTCTTCCACTCTTCCACTTTGCACGTCAGACTGAAGTTGATGATTCAACTACTCATTTTGTTTCTTTAATGACTTTAGAAAAGTGCAATCTTGGACGTTCCCAAAACTGCAATATTTTAGTGGAAATTAAATATATATGGGGTGGCATAAAGTTGAAAGATATTGGAAATTTTAAAATACTTCTTTGACTTTGTTCTTATTATCTCCCCCATTAATTATTTCAAATATACTTTTATTCCCGGTAAAAGTTTGAAATACATTTATTATTTTATATTTATTCTCGCCATGTTTTTTTTTTTTTTTAAATAATTAATAATAACACTTATATAATTTCAAACACAATACTTTCTATCTCATATATAATAGCTAGCAAATCACATCTCATGTGATGAACTCGACTTAGAAAATTCTGTCAATAATTAAACTCATGACTTTCAAGTACAATATTCATTCTTCACTGACTTGACCATCCTTTTTGGGGCAATACTTTCTACTTTTTAATATTATATTATACTGATGTACGATCGGTAGTACGCTTAGACTTTGATTAACGGAAGCATATACATTAATGTTAGTGTTAGAACTTAAAATAAATTGGTTCTAGGCTTTAGATAGATGGGACCTTTAGTCATGAGTTAGAATCACACTAAGAGGTCTTGACTCTTGTGTTTAATTGTTGTAGTTGGCTTATTCATTGATTATATTAGAGATCTTCATTGTCAGTACTATTGAAATAGATTGCATGCTTATTTTTGTGATAGAAAGAAAATATTCTTATTATCCTATTTTATATGTTTAGTTTAGTTTAATAAATTTGATTGTATTCAAATTATTTACAATTTGATTTTTCATAATATTTAGTTTAGTATTAATATATAAAATTTATATACTATATTTAGAAACTATATATATTAAAATATTATTAAATATAAAAAAAGATAAATTTAAAATTATAAAAACATTAAAAGAAAATTTAAAAAAAAAAATTGATTTAACTAGTGCATAATAAATATGACAAGTAAAAATGAGATAGATGAGTAACTACCCATCTACCATATTATTTTTTTTATAGGTTTAAAAAATAAATTAGTGGCACGTTATATGTATTATTTGTTTCGTAATATGCAAAGAGAACTCATTTGTCACTTGAGCTATCACCTCGAGTTTAATTCCCACAAGTGATGATTCTCCATGACCAGCTCCCATGGCCTCCTGGAGCGAACGAGGATTAGTCGGGTGGATCTGAACCGTTAAACGGACAAAGAAAGACCCGGATCGTCTCGTGGTTTACACCAAAATTAATTGTCATTAATAAGTACTTGGGATTTAGAGTTATATATATGGTCATGAAATCATTGAGGGAGCAAGGGTGTGTTTGGAAATCCGGAAAAAGTACTTGGGATTTAGAGTTATATATATGGTCATGAAATCATTGAGGGAGCAAGGGTGTGTTTGGAAATCCGGAAAATGAATTATGAAAATCATTTTCCGAGTTTGCCGTGTTTGATAAATAGTGAAAAATGTGAATTAAAGAAAAATGAGTGTTTGGTCAAAGGAAAATACCCTCATTTTTTTGAAAAATGACTTCTCCCAGTTTCCAATTTCCAGTTTCCGCACCACCACTACCACATACACTACCACCACCAACACCGCCGCTGCCACCACACCACCACTACCACACTACCACCACTATACTACCACTACCACTACCACCATTTATATTGTTAATATCTAAATAAAATAATTAAAATGTTTAATTATATAATTATGCTCATTTTCAAAAAAATGAATCAAATACACAAAGATAATTTTTTTGAAATGCAACTAAATACTAGAAATAAAAATATTTTCTCAAAAACATTTTCTAAAAGTCTTTTTTTTTTATTTCCAAGACATCCTAAAATTAAAACACAAAGATAGGGAGTTTAGTGGTGGATTAGGTGCCCGGAATTTGTCTTAATTTTGTGATTAATTCAACTTAAGATATGATCACCAACTCCACTCAACATGCTTAGCCGTCTAACTTTTTATATTCAAAACTTAAATTGTAAAGTTTTTTACGTTTTTATTTTTCTGCTAATGACATATATATGAAGTCGATACCATCTTAATTAATTAGTAATTAGCTGGCTAGGGCTTCAATGATTTTTGTACTGTGATTTTTTTAATAAATAATCACAGATTTTTACTTTTTGCAGGTAATTCATTTTGTATATGTTTGTTTTCAAGATAAGTTTGGATCATATACTTTTGGTTTCTCAATAGATTTAATTACAACTTTTAAAAGTTTAGACGTCTAATTAATTTTTCGTATAAAGTTCAGGGATATATTTGACCATTTTCTCAAATTTAAAATAGATAAACCCGATTTATAAATCAGCAATATTAGAGCATCTCCAACGGTATGCCAATTTCCATCCCCAAAACACCATTCCCTCAAATTTCTCTCTCCAAGGTGTCTCGCCAAAACGCCAAAGGGAATGGCGTTAATGAACAGTGTAGCGCTATATTTGGCGCTGCACTGTTCATCCGCGCTATAATCCCAAATTGTCCCTTTTGCCCTTATTTAATTTTATAATTCCAAGTATATCCTTAATTGTTTTATATGTAATTTTTTATTTTGTTAAATACTTATATTTAAACTTTGTATTATTAAATAAAAATTATACCATTTTAAAGATCACATTGAGGCGATCGAAATAAAATTCCAAATACATTAAACATAACTTGAACATAATAAAAGTTAAAATACATACGACATACATTAAACATGACTAGAACATAATAAAAATTAAAATACATACGACATAATAATAATATTAGAAAATACAACACAATTTTGAACAAATATAATAAAATTAATAATTTACTAGTCCACTCCCACTTCCTCCCAAATTGAGCATTTGTGGGAACGATTGAGCATTTGTGGAAACGATTTAGTAATTCCGATAATTAAATGTACTAGATGTTGTATGTTGTTTTATTATTGTGGAATAAATTAAAATTTCAAAAATATTGTTAAATTCGATTTTTTAAAATAATTTATGTTATAAAAAATTATTATTAATAAAAATTATTATTTACATTACAAATTATATTTTATATTAAACTAATTAAGTTCGAACTAAATTATATTAAACTAACTAAATTCGAACTAATAATTGAAAAATAAAATTATTTTAGTGTAAAAGTTTGATGTTTTGGTGTAAATGGGTTGGAGATGAATAAAATTTGGTGTGAAAATATGCTGAGAATATTCCTTCTGATGTGACATTTGCTGAAAAAATTTGGTATTTTGGAGATGGAGTGGTTGGAGATGCTCTTAAGGGACCAAAACTACATGTGATTTCCATTATAAATATAATTGATTTAGCGAATTAACTTGTTATTTTTAGTAACATACTTAAAAAGAAAAACTTGTTATTGTAACAATCTAAATTGATTTGCAATTAGAGACTTAATTAAAATGATTTTCAATTTGTGGTTGTATGATTATAATATCAACTTCAATACTATCGGGTTTTTTTGGGGGTCAAATATAAGAATAAGCAAAAGTGCATTTTTGTTGTATTCTTGAGAATTGCGTGTTCTATGGATATTTAATTAAAAATTTGAACATTTCAAATGCTCACATATTAGATTAGAAGCAGCATACGATGGAACAATGTTGCAGAAGACGCTATGCATTAGTCAGGCACCTAGGCACCTCTTATGTGGTTGAGTAATTTGACTATATCATATTGTCTCCATTTTTCTCATTTAGGGCTGTGAGTTGTTGTACTATTATAATCACACAAACTAGTCAATTATATATGATAGATGGTTAGTTGAGTACATGGCTAGAGGAATATAGAAGATGAGCAACTGAGTAGGCAAAAGATACCACTCCGCCTAGTTGGGCGCCAACTAGGCAGAGTTAGGCGCCCAACTCGGCGCTTGGTCGGTCAATCAACTAAAAGGCACCTAGGGCTGAAATCGCATTGGCCTAGGCCAATTTTTACGGCAATTTATATCATGCACCGGGGCGCGCATTGCATTGTGTGCCCTGATGCAAAACGACGTCGTTTCAATTTTTTTTTTTTTTTTTTTTTGAAATTTCGCTACCCTGTGTTGGCGGTTAATTTTCTTTTTTTTTTTAAAAAAAAACTCATGTTCAAAAATGTACATAATTTTATACTATAATACACATAATTGTATACATGAATGTACATAATTGTATAACAAAATATACATATTTTTTTTAAAAAAGATAATACATATAATCTAGGGAAAATGACACTTTTTCCCCCTATGTTATATACTTATAGCACTTTTTCCCCCTTAATTATTTAAGTGGCTCTTTTTCCCCCTGAAATGTTAAATGGACATATTTACCCTTAAAATAAATATTTCATTTATTTTTATTCTCCAATAAATTATTACTATAATTTGGTTCAAACCAGATACTATAGTAACCAAACCAAAATATTTCAATTACAATTTATAATCAAAATGCGATATTTAGAGTTTATTAAAATCGCGAACTGGAATGGCCGGTTCATGTTCCGAACTGAAAAAATAAAATACATTTATTGTTGAATTTAAACTATTTTAAAATAAAAAATAAAATTTTAAAATAAAGACGGTTCAAAATCGCGAACGGGATCCGGAACCGCCAGTTCATGATCCAGTTTTTTTTTTATTCTTAAATTTAATAAATTGAAATCCAAATATTGGGTTCTAGATCTGAATCATAACTGAAAACTTTTAATTCGATTACTATAGTGTCTGGTTCAGTTCGAACCGAACCGTGGTAATCGCTACATATACGCAATAATTTGTTGGAGAAGTAAAATAAATAAAATGTTTACTTTAAGGGTAGAAATGTCAATTTAATATATTAGGGGGGAAAACCACCACTTTTAAAATAATTGAGGGGGCTAATGTGCTTACATAAATAATTGAGGGGAAAAAGTGCTATAAGTATATAACATAGGGGGAAAAAGTGCCATTTTCCCTATAATCTAACATAATACATACTATACATAAACTTTTAACATAATAAACATCAACTCTTAACATAATACACATAAATTTCCTGTTTCGGATGTACATAATTGTATAAAAAAGATGTACGTGATTGTATAAAAAATGTACATAATTGTATAAACAAATACACATAATTGTATAAATAAATACACATAATTTATAAACAAATACACATAATCACGTCAACTCCCTACATAACTTATCAAAACGACGTCTTTTTGGAAGGCGCGGGGCGCACAGGGCTATGCGCGCCGTGATACAGAGTATAACGATTGGATTTTTACAACATTGCCGTGGATCAAGACCTACATGTTCACTTTTGATCACAAATAAATATTCATTTTTTTAGTATATTGAATGTTTATTTTTAATATATTAAAAGTTTATATTTAATATACTGAGTTATTTAATATCTAAAAATGAACCTTTAGTATACAAAAAATAGACATTTAATACACTAAAAATGTATTTTATATCAGTAATTTACGATATAATGATTAGTTAGGCAAAGAAATACTCTTGGAAAAGTATATAAATTGCATAGTTCAATACTTCCTCTCCCTCTCTTTTATTATTTTATTTTTTTTTATTCTTCAGCCTAATAAAGTATTCATATCTTTAACCAAGTAGCTTGTGACAGTTAACAAGTGAAGTGTAAACTGTTAAGAATTATTAACTCTAATTTTTGCTCATGCATGAAATTTTATATGAAATATGCAATTAACAAGTATTATTGGAAATAATGGAATTCGTAAATTTCCACTAAAGTTCACGGTAGAAGTTACCACACCGAAATCTCGTTTTCACACTATGAAGGAGACAAATAGATGTTGATTGGAATCTAAACCAATTGGAATATTATTGATGCCAATCAATTTATGTGTTTTTATTTTTTAAAAAAATTTTTATTACGTCCACCATATGTTTGTCAAATATTCAAACCGAGAAAAACTGTATAGACTTGATCACTTGAAGGAGACGTTTGATAAATCTGTTTTATAAGAATTCTTTCGTTTTCAGCATCATATTTTATTGTCAGAATTCAAAGTTTTTCTCAATTCCACTGCAGGACTTGACATTCTAAATAAGCCTTACCTGTTATGCACCCATGGCTCTGGTGTTTTTAGTGCTTAGAAATACAGGTTTCTCATAATCTTGAATTCTTGATTGTTCATTCTATCCCTGAGATTTCTGGGATTCATTCTTTGGGAGTTCTGGACTCCAAATCTTGGTTATATATAGAAAGTTGAATGGCATGATTTTCTTCAAATTCAAATCAGCTTTTCTTTTGCCTGGTAACAGTGGTGGAGTGGATTCAATTTCTTGATTTTGTTATAGCATATTCTTGATAATTTGCCCTTTGTAGAAAAAGGGCCTTTTTGTTTGTTCTACTTAGAACATCTGAGTTGATTTAAGGAGGTTGAGCCAATAAATGAAAATGGAGGGGAGAGGATTATCAGAGTTGTATAGAAATACAAGTGAGGAATTGTTCATAAGAACTATGATGGAGAACTCGATTGTGATGCCTGCACCAACGATTGACATGTTGGGGTTTAGGAATCTATCTCAGTCGTTCAGAACAGATAGCGAGGAACTGTTTAAAAGCTGGCTTACATGTGGAGAGGCAAGCAGTTTTACTCGTCTCATCGCCTTTTAATTTAATCGGTTTGATGTAATCTAGACTTGTTTTAGTGAGTTCCATTTTCATTTTCAACGTTTTGAGATCATTTGCTATGTTTCTGTTTCAGAATAATGGAAGTAGTCCTTCGATGGCAGCTAACCGAACGAGACAAGCATCTAGAAGGTTAGTCTTGGTGGATAATCAAAATAGCATTTATCGTGTTTTCTTGGCTTTTCCAATCAACTTTTTTATGTTAAATGTAGGATTTCTACTGAAATACCTGGTCTCCCTAACCAGCAAGCTGGAACTCAGAAAAGAAAAGGCGAGGACGCTTTGCTCCCTCAAACAAATTCCTCGGCTAATGAACCTTCAAGCGGTCTTAACCAACAATCTCTAAGGTAACTTCGTGTTTTGATCTGTAACAGTGGACATAAGCCCTTTAAATTCACAAATACTAGGATGTTTTTTTTTGTTTTTCTGTGATTTATCGAGATTTCTGTCTTCACCAGGAACACAGCAGGAAAGGAAATGCAAGCTGCTAACTTTTATTTGGCTAAGGTTTGTCTTATTGTCTTGCGATAATATACCAAATCAATAGCACATAAAATCTAATTTATCGCGTTTGGAACAGGCATGGTTCCATAGTTCTCAACCTATGACAAGGAGTCGGTCCTCCGAGTTAAGGTACATTATATTGTGTTTTGTGCAGGGAGTTGGATCTCCCAGTTAATCTGGTTATAAATTATAGATACAATAATTCATGTTCAAATATGCAGGAGGAGGTATGTAGCGATGCAGAACTCGCAATTAGGTGTGGAAAGTGGTATCGAGACCTTCAAACAAGAATTTGGCAACACGAATGGATTCACTGACCTGCCAAGATATGAAATGCCTAACCAACTAAGCAGTTTTGTGTCGCCCTCCAATTCATCTTCGTCTACTTTCGAGGCTCAAAACGTGGATGCTGCAGATAAGATTTCTTCTGTAGTGAGCATGCTGAAGGGCACCCTAGAGCGCAAAAAGTTGAGTGGCCATTGCCATACTACGATAGAAGCCTTAGAGGATAGCTCGATATATGGGGCTCACGAGGTCTTGTGTAACTCGAGCTTGAATCATATGCTAGGAGGCCACATTTATGAAAAGCATGAGGCACTTGAAGATGCGTTTTTTCAAGTAAATGACACCGGAGTTTTTCAAGCAGCCGGGGGCTCGTTAGATGCCAAGTTAGACGATGTCATGGCTCCCACGAGCCTCATCCAAATGGGCGCACCATCACAAGAGCTATCTCAAAGCGAATCTTCAGTCGTTCCACTTGTAATTTCAACGGGATTCGACATATGTGATGGCTCCAGCAACACATATCAGGCACAAAATGGAAGGAGCACTGAAAACGGTTCATCAACAAGAGGTAACCGTGATATGTTTACCTTGTTAGTTGATCTTTTCTGATGCAGCTATTTGTTCTTGAACTGCAGATATCAGAGAACGCACATATGAGAACTCAAAAGATAATCAAAAGGTAGTTATAAACCTTGTTATATACTTATATTCTTGAAGTAAATGGAGAGTTTTTGGTATTTTAGTGAGAAATGATCCCATTTTCCTTTCATCTATTACAGAAAGGAGGCTTAGTTAGATATGGATCTCTAAAATCATCTCAGTCAGGTATTAAACCATCTATGCGGTATTATTAGTACGTTCCTATAGTTCACTAATAACCGGCATAACATATGCAGTGGAGAATGGAGATCCAACGAAGAAACGCAGGGTGGAGCGATCAAGAAAGTATGTATATATATTGTTCCAGAACTTGGGGGGCCTCCTTTTTTGTTCCTTTGTGTTGAGCATATAATAATCCAACTATCAGCTTAGACTTTTAGTTGAGATGGAACACATGCTTCAATTTGGTATCAGAGTCAGACCAAAGGTCATGGGTTTTTTAAGCTAGAAATTGAAGCTTTTGATTGTTGCAGAATGGCAGAAGCAAAAGAGAGAAACTTGACTCCTGCAGTTCCTTCTGATATGCAATCTGTGTTGAAGCGGTGCGAGAATCTTGAGAAGGAAGTGCGTTCCCTGAAACTTAATTTGGCGTTCATGAATAGGTATGAATGATAACACACACCATATCTGAACTGAGCTATTAGATTGTTCGTTCGATCTGTTTATTGACGAAACGGTTCGTTTAAACAATGCAGAAAAGATTCTGAACAAATAAAGCAGATTGAAGAGCTGCAGAAGCAGAACGAAGATTTGTCCAAGGAAAAAGAGCGGCTTCTTGAAGAGATCGAGAGGATCATTTCGGAAACGAGCAATATGTGACAAAAGTACATACTCCCGAGCATATTTTCAGAAACGAGCAATATGTGTCAAATATCCCTTTACCTGCAGGTTTATGTAACTTCAATGGTGTTAACTTAGTCTTCTGTATAACAACAATATAAGTTTCATGATTGTTAATCCAAACATTATGAGAAATGGGGATTTTTGGTATTATCAAGTTGGTTATAGTACAGGGGGGACATTCTCTCCTTGAATGGGTCTAATCAAAGTTTAATTATATTCTTCAAAAATTTTAATTAGTAAAGGCTACTAATGAAATTTCAATCCTATTTCTTTCTTTTTTTTTTTTTTTTTTCTTTCCCTCACCAAATTATCACTCTAACTCTAACTCTACAATTGGGTCGACAAGTCTCCTTGACACCCCTCCCTACCCTCCCCACTCCAATTGCCTTAGACTGCCATACTTCCATACCACCTACTTCAGCTGCCATGCCTTCCTTACCACCTTTTTGGGCCGTTATGCCTTTCTTATCACTTCTTTGCGCCACCATGCCTTACCTCCTTAAATTGTCATGCCTTTCTTGGCAAATTATTGCATGGACTACGGTCCAAAACAACGTCGTTTTGATGTTTAAAAAAATAATAAAAATTCTTTGCTTCGCACGCGTATTAGAATAATGAACATTATGGAATAAGATAATATATTTTACGAGTTAGAATAATATACTTTATGTGTTAAAATAATGTATTTTATATGTGTTAGAATAATGAACATTCTGGGGTAAGATAATGTATTTTACGAGTTAGAATAATGTACTTTATGTGTTAAAATAATGTGTTTTATGAGTTAGAATAATGTACTTTATATGTTAGACTAATGAAATTTTTGAGGTAAAATAATATATTTTATGAGAGAATAATGTACTTTATGTGTTAGAATAATATATCATATGAGTTAAAAGGCTCAAGTGTCAAATCGCACCATGAACCAATTGAGATTTGTCATGCCGCACCATGATCTTTCATAAGTGATGATTCGATACACAAACTAAAAAAAAATTGTCGCTTGGAATTTTTTGCAGGTTTCCTACAAGTTGTAGGTAATAATAGGCTGATGTGGAGTTTTTTTTTTATTAACCTATTTTAAATAATTATTAAATGTATGACATGGCATGCTTGTTTTTTGACTTTTTTTTCACTCGCACAGATTGTTGAACACCCAAAACTGTTTTTCCATCTTCTTTATTAGGACTCTATGTATATGAGTCTGTTTAGAATTTCTTATCCTTGTCACACTGTGACTCTCTACTTCTTATCATTGTCACACTGTGACTCTCTATTCTATATATTCACATCATCTGATCTCATTGTAATCAAGTTCAGAAAATATAATACAATAAGTTCTCATCTGGTATCAGTTAGCTAGGGTTTTTTGATTCATAAAATCAAGAAGATGCAGCGCTGCGATGGCAACCTTAATTACCGTGGAGGTCAGCAACGTGGCTTCGATGATCCGTGTCAAATCTGTAAAGGTTTCGGCCACACAGGAGTCAATTGTTTTTGGCGCTATGATGATCCGTGTCAAATTTGTAAACGTTTTGGTCACACGGGAGCCAATTGTTTTTGGCGCTATGATGATCCGTGTCAAATTTGTAAACGTTTTGGTCACACGGGAGCCAATTATTTTTGGCGCTATAATGATCCGTGTCAAATTTGCAAAAGTTTCGGTCACACGGGAGTCAACTGTTTTTGGCGATATTCAGGGGCTCCGGGTTCTCAGGCTAATTTGGTGTTTCAGAATGGTTTAGTTGCTAAAACCTCGTCAAATTCTCATACTTGGGTTCCGGACACTGGAGCCACAAATCATGCAACTCCAAACATCGCTGCTCTTTCTACATCAGAGAAATACACTGGTAATGACACTTTACGTGTCGGTGACGGTATGGGTTTATCTATTAGTCATGTTGGTCATGCCTCTTTTAATACCCCTTCTAGATCATTTACATTGTCTGATATACTTCACGTTCCGCGTTTGTCTAATTCTTTATTATCTGTTCAGAAGTTTGCATCCGATAATAAAGTCTTTTTTGAGTTTCACCCCTCCTTTTTTGTTGTGAAAGATATCAATACCAAGGAAATACTTCTTCGGGGCAATAGTTCGGGGGGACTATACACACTTTCATTACCTAGTTCGTCTCCGTCAGCGTTTATTTCCGCTCGTGCCTCGGCTTCCACTTGGCACAATCGTCTGGGTCATCCTCATAACCGTGTTCTTAGCCAAATACTTCGTTCTTGTTTGGTTAGTGGGTCTCGTGATAATATTCGTTGTCATAATTCTTTATGCAATGCGTGTCAATTAGGCAAATCTGCCCGTTTTCCCCTCCACCGTGTTGCTTCCTCTAGTTCTCAAGTCCTAGATCTTATTTACACAGATATTTGGGGTCCTGCGCCCACTTTATCTACTTCTGGCTTCCGTTATTTTGTGATCTTTGTGGATGACTATTCCCGTTATACATGGTTCTTCCCTATGAAATTAAAGTCTGATCTTTATGTCATCTTTGATAAATTTCGTACTCTTGTTGAACGGTCCTTTAATTGCAAAATAAAGGCCATTCAGTCTGATTTAGGTGCTGAGTACAAAAAGTTACATTCTTTGTTTGTTCAATTAGGAATTCAACATAGACAATCCTGTGCCTATACACATGAATAGAATGGTCGTGTTGAACGAAAACATCGTCACATTGTTGAAACTGGTCTGGCTCTTCTAGCTCATGCCTCTGTTCCTTTGAAATTTTGGGATTTTGCCTTTGAGACTGCTGTCTATTTAATTAACAGAATGCCATCTTCTGTATTAAATAACTCCAGTCCTCATCTCCTGTTACATAAATCCCCACCTTCCTATCTTTTTCTTCGTGTCTTTGGGTGTTTATGTTACCCTCATCTTCGACCATATAATCGTCATAAGATGTCATACAGGTCTTCTCCATGTGTCTTCCTAGGTTATCCTGAGTCCTTTAGGAGGTACAGATGCATGGACTTACATACTAATAAGATTTACACATGTAGGCATGTCAGATTTGATGAAGAAGTTTTCCCCTTTGCTACTAAAACTTCTTTGCAGGATCTATCTACTCCGTTTTCTGGACCTTGGGCGGAATCTGTTCTCAGTCACAGCACACCTATTCCTACCGTGTCCAATGATGAGCTGCCAGAACCGCCGCTACCTGCTTCATTCGAACCAGCCGTGGATCCCGGACAGGCTGCCTCGTCGGGTGATCTTGTGGAGCCTATTGCTCGCCGGCGAGGCCGTCCACGTGGGCGGTCCATCAGGCCCAATGTCCGTACTCACTCTATGGCCACTCGCAGCAACGCAGATGCTCCTCTTTTTGCTCTAGTAGCTCAGGTGCATCCCACGGAACCCACATGTCACTCTTAAGCTGTTAAATATCCTGAGTGGCGTGAAGCCATGGACCAAGAATTCAATGCTCTCCTACATAACCACACATGGTCTCTAGTTCCACCAACTGCAGGTATGAATATTATTGGTTGTAAATGGGTGTTTCGTACGAAGAGAAAGGCTGATGGTGCTATTGAAAGGCATAAAGCCAGGCTGGTTGCGAAAGGTTTTAATCAGGTTCCAGGTCAGGACTTCTTCGACACTTTTAGTCCAGTGGTAAAGCCTACGACTGTAAGACTCCTTCTATCTCTAGCTTTATCATCTGGGTGGTCTATCAAATAGCTAGATGTTCATAATGCTTTTCTGAATGGTAATCTGGCTGAAACAGTTTATATGAAGCAACCCCCTGGTTATATTGATGCTAACTTCCCGAATCATGTTTGTTTGTTAAAAAGATCTCTATATGGGTTAAAACAAGCTCCCAGAGCTTGGTTTAATCGACTACATACGTTCTTACTATCGGTTGGCTTTCAAGCATCCAAGACAGATGTCTCTCTGTTCTATTACTCTAAAGACTCTGCTTTGGTTTATCTATTGGTGTACGTGGATGACATTTTTGTAATGGGAAGTGATCAGGGTATTATATCTCAGCTCTTATCCAAACTGTCTGCTACATTCAAAATCAGAGATCTTGGTGAACCAAATTTTTTTTTGGGTATTGAAACAGTTAAGAGTGACAATGGGATTATTTTATCTCAATAACGGTATATGAATGATATTTTAAAACGGGCTGGAATGTCTGAATGCAAACCCCTTTCTACACCTCCTCTGTCTCGAAAAGTGTCCCCTTCAATTCAGATCTATATGATGATCCCACACAGTACAGGAGTCTAGCTGGAGCATTGCAATATCTCACTGTCACACGACCTGACCTATCCTTTGCAGTTAATCAGTTATGCCAGCATATGCATGCTCCCACCATATCACACTGGGAGCAGCTCAAACGGGTACTCAGGTATGTTAAGGGAACAGTTGATCATGGTTTACGCATACGACGATGCTCATCTAGAGACATTCATGCTTTCTCTGATTCTGATTGGGCTGGTTGTCCTGATGATCGAAAATCCACGAGTGATTTTGCTGTTTTCTTGGGGAGTAATCTTATATCATGGGTTTGCAAGAAACAGAGAACTGTTGCCAGGTCATCCACTGAGGCTGAATACAAAGCTCTTGCAGATGTTTGTGCTGAGGTTCTATGGATTATGTCATTATTGCGTGAGATACAGATTCCGGGTATTTCCATTCCAAAATTATGGTGTGATAATCTAGGAGCTACATATATGAGTGCCAATCCAATCTTTCATGCGTGCACCAAGCATGTGGAGATTGATTATCATTTTGTTCGTGATCGAGTAGCTTCGGGCGATATCCAAGTCAACTTCATCTCCACAAAGGATCAACTTGCTGATATCTTCACCAAAGCTCTGCCTGGACCTAGATTTTCTTCCTTAAGGGACAAGCTACAGGTTACTAGTATACACTGTGCTTGAGGGGGAGTATTAGGACTCTATGTATATGAGTCTGTTTAGAACTTCTTATCCTTGTCACACTGTGACTCTCTACTTCTTATCATTGTCACACTGTGACTCTCTATTCTATATATTCACATCATCTGATCTCATTGTAATCAAGTTCAGAAAATATAATACAATCAGTTCTCATCTTCTTCGCACATCCATTTTTTAGCCTCTGTGGTTCATGTTTAGTTGAGTTACCATGATTTACATCCTCCCAAATGTTCTGTCGGGTCGGGGTG